CAGCAAGGACAAGGGCAGCAAAAGCAGGGGCTCCCAGCGCTCGGAGAGCTCAGGTGAGCCCAGCCCCAGCTCCAAAGCCTGGGCCTGCAAGAAGTGGGCTGTCTCCAGTGCCCCTTCCCCCCTGGACCCGGAGGTCCAGCCATGGGCAACTTGTGAGAAACTATAGGGGCTCAATGGGACCAAAAGCAGGATACTAGTGCCACCTAGAGAGGGTGCCAGAGGAAAACCAGAAGGTGCAGCTGTGACATGCCAGGGCCTCCCCTCCAAATGGAGGCCTTTTTCTCAAGCAGAATTGAAATGGCAAGCCAGGCTCCATGTGCTTTCCCACAACAGGCCTCAAACAGTAGGATGGGGGACGGGAGCTTCCRAGGGTCACAGGCCAGAAGTCAACCTGCTCACTTAGGACCATGTAGCTAGAGCACAGGACAAGTGCCAAGGGCTCTACACAGTGTCCTGGGTTAACAGAGGGGGACGCTGCAGCCCAGGGAGGCACAGTCCCTTACCCTCGGGCACCTGCAATGAGTACCACCCAAGAGTAAGCCCAGGAGCTCCTCCGTGCCTGCCCACTGGGAAGTATTCCCCAGGTCACAACTAGGGATGTTCTGAGACAAGATCTTAAGGAGCAGAGCCTGTGTCCTGTGACCTCTGGGGCATGAGGGTCACTGGAAAGGGATACTTCCCCGAAAGCAGTGCCTTCCCTTTGTCCAGAGGATGGCTGACTCTGAGGGTCCGCCCTGGGCACTGTCAGGTGGGGAAGGTCCRGCGTCCTCCCAGTCCTGAGGTGGCCTGCCGCAGGGCCCAAGCTCCTTCCCTCTTCCAGCTTCATTCGACCTCAAGCAGCAGCTGCTTCTCAACAAGTTGATGGGCAAGGACGAGACCACCTCTCGGAATCGCCGGTCACTGAGCCCCATCCTGCTCAGCAGCCACAGCTCCACGCCTGCCACAGGTGAGCCCAGCACCCCAGCAGCGGGGCAGTCTGCAGCACCTGGTGACATCTGACACCCCGGTCCCCTCTCTCTTCCAGACTCCTACGTCCCAGCCCCGAGTCCAGCCCCAACCGACATCCCTCCTGAGGCCTTCTTCATCAAGGCTGGGGGCACACCCTTCCCGCCTGTGCCCCCGGCTCCCTCCCCACTACAGGCCACCAGGGAGGAAGCCAGCAAGGAAGACGTCATCTTCTTCTGAGGGGCTGTGGCTCCAGGGGCAGGCCCTCTGGCCTGTCTACCCTGAGTCTCTGGGGACCCCATGGGGTGACTGCCTGCCCAGCTATTGTCCTCTCCTGCCCAGGCACACCCCTGATGTCCATCTGGCCTGGGTCAGCCTGTTGGTGCTTCGGGTCTCGTGGCTGTCTGTAGGATTAGTGGTAATGCCTGGGTAATTTCATAAACCTCTTTTTTTATTCATACATAAAAGAAAGTTTTTAATGGAAAGTTGAACCAACTAAAGCAAGGAGTTGTTTTAAGCCGTAGCACCCCTTTGGGTAGGAGAAAGGTCAATTCCCAGTTGTTTGCCCAGGCAGTGAGGAGTGCCAGGGGGCCCAAGGAGCTGGAGGACAGGCCAGGCCTGGGTTTGAGGAGCCGCTGGCCAGGCCAGGCTCCACAGGTACCAGGAAGCACTGAGTGAGTCAAGTCGTGAGGGCACCAGGAGGGGCCATGGCATCCGTGTGTGTCTGCGAGTCAGGCAGAATCCCCCTCCAAAGCAGCCCCTTCCACGCTGGTCACCAAGAACCTCTGTCGGCAGGGCRGGGCAGGGCAGGGCCCACCCAGGAGTAGCGAGGACCAGAGGGAAGGGGCGGCCATGGCACTTCAGGCATGTTTTGTGGGTTCGGAAGCTCGTCCTGAAGGGGCCGACCAGGCATGGCTCCTTTAATTTGACAGAGGTTTCCCTACCGCTGGTCTGCTTCTYGAGGGCACCTGCCGTCCCCGCCGCTCAGCCCATCCAGGGCACCAAGCCTCRGGCTCAGCCAGGGCTGGCGCTGGCACAGGCACCCCAGCAGAGGTCCTCGGTCTCCTGTGAAATGGGCAGRTTTTCCTGGGGCTTCTAGGAAGAAGCCCCTGGGCTGTGCCCGGCCAGAATGGGAGGGAATGCCTGGAGAGGCTGCCAGCAGGTGCACAGGGGGCCATCTTGGGGCGCCTCACTTGCACTGGCCTGTTGCAGCCTGGAGTCGGCTTCCCCTAGAGGACTTGGGGCAGGGCTTTTAGGGGTGGCCCAGATGGTCAGATCCACATTCCAGCTGCAGCCAAAGCAGAGCCTGGCTGCCCAGGGCAGGAGGGGCACGTTGCCAGCCTTGCCCCACAGCCCAGGCTTCCCCACGTTGGAAGGGTTGACAGCAGGGCCAGGTCCTGGGCTGGTCATTCTTGTTCCCAGAAAGGGGCACTTGGGCCCAAGCCAGGGCCAGTGTCCTGGGGAGCCTCAGTGGGGAACTCAGCAGAGTCACCCCCTATGATGCCCAACATAGTAAGCTGGGGGACGTTTCCACCACTGAGGGACAGGTGGGCACAGAGGAGGGGAAACTGTTAGGACCTGTGCAGCCTGCCATCAGCTCCCTGAAGCCAAGGTGCCTGCTTAGTGTCCCAGGTTCAGGAGGGGACTGGGCAGGTGCAGGCACTGACCAGGAGCCAGGGCCCAGCCAGTGGCTAGCAGGGTTCTGAAAGCAACAGTTGTCGTGAGTGGTGTGGTGTCCCAACCTCTTCTCCAGGCTTCTGGCCTCTGAGAACCTTGACTTTWCCCACCCTGGTCCTTTTCCATCAGCAGTGCTGTCCTGTGTCCCCAGTGTCCCCGACCCACCAGATCTCATCTGTGCCATGTTTATAATCAGTGTTTTGTATTTTTGTACTGAGACGTATTGGAGCACTTTAGAAAGGCTAAATTCCTGCTCTATCGCGAAGAGAACATTCCTGGACTCCTGCACTGGCTGGCCTCCCAGCCCGTCTGTCTGGACCACCCACCCAGACATGAGGACTCCTTGAACTTAGACAAGCGCAAGGAATTTCTGCCCAACCACACAGCGGACCATCAGCAGGAAGGGGGCCTCCCTGTCAGGTGGCCAGGGAAGGGGGGGCTCAGTCAGGCTCCACACGCAGTAGGGCAGCATGGCTGGTTCACCCTCTTACCACACCCACGGTCACTCCTGGGTAGAGCCCAATTTTATTTGTAAAGCTGGTGGCTGCGTAGTTCCCCGTTTCTGTGGGTCCATGCTTGTGGTCTTGGGTGATCGTGACCATGACCTTAGCCAACATGACAATTACTTCACAGTGATATGTTTTCTACCACCAGGTGTTTGGGAACCACCCTAGAACTTAAGACCAGATTCTAGCAATAAAAGTGTCTAAGATGATCTCTGACTTAAGTGGCTGTTCTTGGGAGTTTGGGGGGGCTATCTCTAGTCCAAGTGTGGCCTCAGGGACACTGGGAAGCAGGGGAGGGGCAGGCAGGAGGTGATAGCCATCTGTACAACTGCTGTGGGGCTAAGTCCAGGCACAGGGATGCTAGCCCCTTGGGGGACTTTGAGCTGGGTCTGTCCCCTGCTAAGTTCCCCCAACCGCAGCTGTCCCCCGAGATCTGCCTGACAAGCCCCTTCTCCTGAGGTGCCCCTAGGCCTTCCTCTGCAGAAGTGCACGGGCTCCTGAGAGGTCGAGTCCTCCACCATGGGGTGTGCACGGATGTTCCAAAGGAAGGCTGTGCTCGGGGTCCACAGAGGGGCCAAGCCCTGAAGTTGAGAGCTACTGAGCCACAACAGACCAGCCTCCGAGACAGACGGTGGATTAGTGGTCACAAGCCCAGGGGGAAGGAGGGCAGCGGGCGATGGCTAAGGGTGCAAGGTTCCTTTTCAAGGAGTGAAAACATTCTCGGCTGGTTGTGGGGGTGACTGCACAACTGAATCCACTAACCACTACTGGCCCGTGCACCTGGAGCAGGAGAGGGGCAGGCAGGGGGAGTGTGCTGCTGTCAACCTCAGAGGGCTGGGTGGCTCAGTGGCAGGACGTGGGCTCAGCATAAGGCTCTGGGTCTTGTCCTCAACACAAACAGAAAAAACTAAAAAAACATGAAGAGCCACTGGACCCCTCAGAAGTGGGAAGGGGGCCCCCTTTTTGGGAGCACCTACTTGCTCTGTGCCTGCACCCCATAYGGTCAGTGTCCCAGGCCTTCTGGTCCAGCTTGTATGCCTAAGCCTGGCTTTCCTTCTCTGGTTTCCTGTGGCCAGGCACCACACGGAGGCCCTTCCAGGTCTGAGCTGTTTGAGGCTGCAGAGGGGTTACTGGGTGTTGCCAAGACCCCACCCCTCATCTCCCTGGTGCCCATGCTAAGGGCCAGGGTAGACACACACCCACCCRCATGGATGGAGACTGACTGGGCCTGGCCCACAGATTAACAGGGCAGGGCACCTGGCCTGGGGACAGGGAAGGGGGAGCGTCTGTGCCACATGAGGCTCAAGGGAACACACACTGCCCCAGGGTCTTCCCAGGGGTGTGCAGACTCAAACATCCTTCTTTGCCTTCAGACTAGAGAACGAACATGTCCCAGCCCACCACATTTCCATGGTGTGGCACACATGGTGTGACACCAGTTCACATGGCCTAGCCTCAGGTCAGAGCCCATGAAATGCACATAATGGCCCAAATGGACCTCAGTGGCCGTGGGTCCGTCAACGTGATATGAGTTAAGTGTAAGACCAGAGCCACAGTGAGCAGGAGGAGGGTGTGGCATGGGTGTGGCCTGGCAGGAAGCAGCATCTCTGTCCCAAAATCTGAGGCTGCAGGGAAGGGCGCTCAGGGCTAAGGCTGCCCAGGGTGAGTGGGCAGCACTTACTCAGAGACGGAGAGAAGCTGTGGGACCAACAGCATCCTGGAAGGCRAGCTGAGGAAGTGAGGTTCCAACTGGGCTGTGTCTGCTGGTGAGAGAGCCAGTGGGTATGGACCTGGGACGGCGAGGGGCCAGGAGCCATCAGTGTAATCATCTCACACTTGAACTGAGCACCAGCACCAGAATGTTTAATTGATTCTCGTTCCAGCTTTCCCAAGGTCCCACTYGAAGCATGGCATGTGTCTCTCCTGCTTGTCTTCATTTGCATATAGGACCCGGCCAGCAGACACAAGGCTCTGCAGAGGCCCACACAGGGCCTTTCCAAGCTCTGCCTTGGCTTGGGAGTCCTGGGGTCTTCCCCATTTGGCCCTCCGAGAAGAGCTTTTCCCACCAAGGCCCTGGCTGGGATTCGAGGGTCCCCATACCAGCCCCTCTTCCCTCCCTACCTATGCACCTGCTCCAGGGCTGCTCAATCACAGACGCATCCCCTGGCTGGCGGTTGCTCTGTGGGAAGGGGCCCTCCGTCGGGTCCAGCTGCATCCACCTGCTCCTCAYACCACGTCAGGGGCTGGCAGCCTCGGGCTGGCCACTAGCCTGGGCCGCCTGATAGATGCTGAGCAGGGAGGAGATGGTGCCCATGAGGCCCACCAGCCACGGGGGGAAGCGGCCGGCCCACAGGACACCTGGTGGCAGCCAGTGCACGGCRTTGGCCAAGTCAGCCAGGTTGCTGAGGAGCGTCAGCACCTCCGAATGCATCYGCACCTCGATGGCCCTCTGCTTGCTCTGGGGCAGCCGACTGTGGGAGCAAAGCAGCCACTCACAGCCAGCCCAACCCCTCGCCCCAGGAAGGCCCCAGACTGGAAAGGGGACGGAGCCTGCCTGTGAGAGGGAACGGCCGGCGGTGAGGCCATCCTGACCTTCCATAGGGTCTGACCCCCAACTCCCCCATAGGGAGCCCCCAGCCTCAGACCCACACTCCAGACTCCCTGAAGACAGGTGGGGAGGTGGTATGGGGGCTATAGGGTTTTAGGAAGATATGACAGTGACAGTGGCTACTGTCCTCAAAATCTTGCCTCGAGATCATCCTCCCAGCCAGGGGCACAGCCCTGAGCACCCAGCCCTGGGTCCTTGCTCTAGCAGGTTCTACTTCCCACCCAGAGGCCAAGGTGAGGCCCTGTGGCCTGCACACACGGGCCAGGGAGGGGATAGCTGATCACCAGCAGCCCAGCGGGGCCCTTCCCGGCAAGGCCCAGGCTTACCTGGTGAGGCTGGCCATGGGGTTCCTCAGCCTCTGCCTCAGCCTCAGCACCGTCCACAGGGACCTGGAACACCAGAGACAAGAGGGAGACCCGCTGGAGCAGCAGGTACCCTGGTGGGGCAGGGCCTGGCTCCCCGAGGCCACCTRGGTTGGGGGGCCTCTGCCACCTGTTACTACAGCCACAGGTTCCTTCAGAGTCTGCTGAGCTCTGGGACAAGCGCTCTTCCCTTTCCCTGCCACCAAGGGTCCTGTGCCTGCAGGGCAGAGCTCCGCCCCTGGCAGTGCCTCAGAAGCCCCCAGGACAGGTCACACAGCCCCACGCTGCCCAGGCCACACCATGGACCTGCCCAGGGATGAAAGGCCATGAGCCAAGTCCCCCTCTGACCTACAGCCTCTGCCACATCCAGAGCCTGGCCCAGGAGTCTCTGAGCACATAGGGAGAGACAGGCAGGGCTGCACCCACAGACAGCGACCTCAAGGGGACCTCTGAGATCAAGGGGTAGCCACGGCCACCAAACAGAACATGAGGAGACAGAGTGCCGGCAGCACGAAGACGAGACTGGAAGGAGCTGCTCGAGCCCAGGCAACGGGGGCCTACTTTGGGGGGGAAGATCTTTCTGGTTTCCAGACTGTGGACAACTAGCACCTTGTCAGGGCATTGGTAAGGATGTGCCTCATCCTGGGACAAGTGACAGCAGATGCAGACACTGTCCCCAGAACAAAGAAGGTTCAGCCTCCCTTCAAGAGAGGAGGGATGGCTCCTCCTCACTCCAGGGATCTGGGGCTTCTCGGCCATCATTAACAYGGGGACTGAGGACCCTGCTCCTCAAGGTCTTCTCTAGGCCAGGGGGTTCTGAACAAACTGTCTCAGCAAATTTGCAGAGGAACACATTTAGGAGGAACCCATTACTGTGAGGTTCTAGAAACCGTCAGCTTTCAGAGCACAAAGGCAGTCAGGAAACGGCTGGCTTGTTCCTTTGGGGATTCTGCTGACAAAGCAAGCAGAAGTCAGCGTCCAGGGAGAGGTCACCCTGCCGTCCGCCTCTCTAGTTCCTTCTCCTTCCTGGATCTGGTCATCAGAATCACAGCCCCTTGTCCAAGAGGTCCCCAGAACATGTGAATGTGTGGCTGCAGGAAGGATGAAGTACCCTACGATGGGGGTCATCCCAGATATCAAAGGGGCCCAGCTTCACCACAGGATCCTCAAAAAAGGGAGGCAGGAGGGTCAGGGTCAGAGAGATCTGGAAGATGCTGCTGCTGGCCCTGGAGATGGAGGAGGGGGCCACAAGCCAAGGGCTGCAGGTGCCTCTAGAAGCTGGGAAAGGTGGGACCAGCCGCTGAGGCCTTGACTTTAGCTCAGTGAGTCCTGTGTCGGATCCCAGCTGAAACATGACCTTCTAACTGCAGGACTGTGACATGATCAATTTCTGATTAAAGCTACATTTACTACAGCAATTATTAGAAATAAACATGGCAGGGTGGCCAAAAAAGAGAAAAACTCCAAGAGCTGGAGACCAGACCCTCAGGCCAAGGCAGCCTGCCAATGCCACCGCAGCCCTGCTGAGGAGACTCCACCAGGGACCACAGGGCTCCCTCTGGCTGATGTCACTCACCTGGCAACCCCCAGGAGCAGGGAGAAACCCCAGAGGGCAGTGCTCAGGGTCCACCATCTGGCAGAGTCCACGCGGAGGACCTTGGCGTCAGCGGCCCAGGCCACGTGCTCACATGGATAGTAGAGCTGGTCAGCTACGTTGCCCAGGACAGACAGCCAGCGGACAAAGACGTCCTTCTCCTGCAGCGCCAGGGAGATGAAGGACCCGCAGTCAGACACACACACTGCCCACTTCAGGGCTGTGGCCGCGGCACCATTTCTCCCCAACACAGTCCCAGGATCATGCCCAGGCCCAGAGGTTGTCCATGGCCAGCTGCTGCAGATGAGGACGGCCCGGGTCCCAGGGCTCGTTTCTGCTCGGAGCAGCAGGTCTCAACTCAGCTGGGCCATGGAATCCCCAGGGGGTTTAAAAAGCCCATGCCCCAACGCCAGCCCTAAGGATCCTGCCTCCATGGCAGGCGACGCCAGCTCTGGGATGTTGTCCGTGGATCTGTATTTTAAGTTCCTCGGGGATTCCCACATTCGGCCAAGTGGACACACCTGCACCAGCCTGCCTTCGTGAAGGCTTCCAGTTCCTGCACAGGGCTCAGCTGAGGCTCTCTGATGCAGGACCCTGGGTGGGGGCCAGGGAAGGCCACATGCAGGGACCAGGGGGAGGAGGGTGCAGTGGGACATGAACACCAGCTGCCACACCCCAGTGTCAGCTGCATGCCAGGCCAGTACAACAGTGCAAGGCTTGTGTCACCTCCCCAAACCCAGGAGCTCAGCACCTCACATCACAGACTGCAGATGGAAGCCCCTCGCTCCTCCTCAAGCAAGGACTGGCCTCCTGGCAGATGAAACAGAGCCCCCAGGAGCTCTCGGTCTGCCCCATGCTGGGCCACCTGCCCCACATGTTTGTTCTTTGGGTTTTTATTCTGTTTGCAGTGCAGCATTTGAACCCAGAGCCTTGTGCACTGAGCTCCACCCCCAGCACCTCTGCCCCCAAGTCCAGAGTAACTACCTGTATGTTACCYAGCCAAGCAGGCTCAGTGCAGAAGCAACAGATGCACAAAGCATACCAGATGGCCATAAAGAAAACAGGAGACCTGTTTGGAGGGATCAGAATTGGCCTCCCAGTTGAACTGTTCGGAGGAAACGATAAGTGGTAGAACAGAGTAAACGGTCCAACTAGCAACAACACACTTGCGCCTGCGTAGGTACAGGAAATCTCATCAAGGAGACGAGGAGCTGACCACAGCTCCTCTGAGGAGGAATTCTGGGGTCCCAGAGATCATGGTGGATTATATACTCATGGGTCACACAAACAAGCAAGCTTTGTTTTTAAATCAAGGGCTGGGGATGTAGCTCAGTGGAAGAGCTCTTGYTAGCAAGTATGAGGCCCTGGGTTCCAACCCCAGCACTGCAAAAAAATTAAAAATAATAAAATTCAAATTAAAATGAGAACATCTGATCATCTCAAAATAGAAAGTAAAATTTAAAAGATAATAAACTGTCCAACAGGGAGCCCTTTGGGACAAGCCCATAAAACACCAGCTGAGCCCAAGGCCACAGGCTTCCCAAGGGTGGGGACCCCTCCCTACAGCCCCTGCAGTTACCTCTGACCCCAGGCCGTACTGCTTGGTGTAGACAAACATGGCCAGGTCGTCAAAGAGTCTCAAGACGGTCCTGCAGTGGCTGAGCTGGGCYGACACCACCAGCAGGCGTGTGCCCACTTCGGACCTGGCAGGACACTGTTCAACCAGGACTCCGCCAACCAGCTGGCAGCAGTACCCCAGCGTTCGGATCTGTGGGAAACCAGAAGCGATCAACATGGCCCTGCTCCTGAGCTGCACTGGACCAACCGCTCGGGCCCCGGCCCTGCAGGACTGAAGGTGCAAAAGTCAAAAGCAACAAGCATCCAACAAAAGCTCAGTCGGAAAGCAGGACAAATGGAAAACCACCGGACAATGGTCCAAAAGGAGAGTCTAACAAGAGTCCTGGCTCTTGTCACTGAGAGGCACAGCCTTTGGGGACAGTGGTAATGGGAACAAAGAAAAGAAAACTACTTCCCACCTCCTTGGTCCTCATTGCCCAGCAGGCCAGAGGAGGGGGAGGTTGGAATGTACATTTGCATCTCCCTGGCTGGGCAAAGCCCTTAGCTGGGCTGCAAGCTAGGAGCAAGTGACCTGTCTCAACCCAGTGAACAGGACAGTAATTTGTTTGAATTACTTTAGTGACAAAGGGCCCACTCAATAAGTGATTTGGAGGATCACAAGAGAGATCAGGTTCACCACCAGTATGTCTTTCATTATTTCATTTGCTTCTCAGAAACTGCTAGTTCCTGTTGTTTTACATATTACTTTACCTGTAATTCCTTTTGAGCCCAGGTGTAATGGCAAAACACTGCCATTTAAGTGTCCAACTTAGGAGGTATTAAAACCTGACCATTCACCCATAGGGGACTTGGTTGGAACCTATCTGCCTCGCCACCCTGTTCAACCTACATGCTACCTAGGAGGGACTGCCAAGACAAGCTAAGAGTCCAACCTAAGGGACTTGGATGGAAAAACCTTAACGCTTAATTAGAGAAGATTAGTTGGAACCTAAAAATCCAGACATAGGGGGAGTCCTGAATCATTCTAAATGCTGAGATCATTCACAGCAATCTAAGAAGCAACTACAATGACCTAGTCAGATACTCATATCCAAATGTAGGAATCTGCTTGGTTAGTAAATGTCCAGTCAGGATGGGTTGGCAGGGACGATCTAAATGATCAAACTACAGGGGACTTGGATGAAACCCACAATGGCTAGGTTACAGTAGGGGCCTGGCCATTGTGGGCTCCCTGGTACCAAGTTGGCTGAAACAACCTAAATGCTCAACTTGAGGGGATGTGGTCAGAACCTAAATGTCCAGCCACGGGGGAAGCCCTGCAACATCCTAAGTCCCCAGAAGAAAAACCGTCAGGACAACCCAGGAACTAACTTCAGTGGCTGATCAGATCCCAAGGGTTCACACGAGGGAAMTGAGGCAGTGGTTTGGCAGGAACAACCTGTATGTCCACCCTTAGGGGGCGTGGTTTGGGTCTAGCTCAGGCAGGGCCTTGGCAGTGAACGATCCTGAGCGACCCTGTCCCCTCTCTGGTCTCWGTTGCCCCATCTCTGAACTTCGACGGAACTCGTGGCCTCCGGCCCCGCTCGGCCCCAGCCTCACCAGGCGGTCGCGGCCCCTGTAAGACTCCAGCGCCGACGCCAGACCGTTCAGCGCCGCCATGGCAACTCCGCCGTGACGTCAGCGMGACGTCAGCGCGCCGCGCCAGGGGGCGGGGCTAGACCGCGTCCCAGGAGCTTCCGAGCGGCCCGCGAGCACTCTGCGCAGGCGCGGCCGCTGCCCTTTGTCCCCGATCTGGACTTTTGTCKGTTCCACCCAACTTTGCCAAAGTTTGGCGGCCACGTGTGTGCCGCCCGGGCCTGTGACCGGATGAGCCAGCTGGCCGTCATCTGCCCCATGGCGGCCTGATCAGCTGCCCACTCACAGGGCATTTCAAAATTGTGTGCAAAAACCATGGATTAGCTCGCCCAAAATTTCTCAAAAAAGTGAACACCCATTTCCTTTTTTTTTTCTTCCCCTCTTTGAGGTGGAGTTCACATAACGTAAAGGCCACCATTTTAAAATGTATAATCCAGTGCCACTTAGTACATTCACAGATTGTGCCCCCACCTGCCCTCACTGGTTTCAAAGTATTTTCATCAGTCCCAAAGGAGACCTTCAGAGGAGACCAGAACATGCCACCACAAAACATGCCGCCTTGGCAGGAGGAGTCCTTTGAGCTAAAGACAAAAGCACACAGGAAAACTCTCTGCCCTCCCACTCTTTTCCTGAAAGGAAGATAAGTTTACAAAGGTGTCCTCCCACTCTACCAGGAGGGACAAGAGTCCATCACYACAGACGTCTTTGGTCCTTATGCACCAGAGGACTCTATTTAACAAACTTTGCTAACTGTCCTTTAGCTGCCATTTATCTTTCTACCCATAATTTGCCACCACAAGAGACTCAAGTCCTTCTCCCTTGTCTTGTCACCTCTCTAAAAATTCACTGTTCCTGGTTGATGATGCCTTATAAATCAGAGTCCCAACCCACCTCTTGAGAATGACATTTTTCTGGGTGTCGCCCATCTATGCCTGAGATACCCGTGTTAATGTTTACTTCTCTCCAGTTGATTCTTTTGTTACAGGGTCCATCTCAGCTTAGAACTAAGGGTGGAAGGAAAATTATTTTTCTTGCTCAGCACCGTGGTCCTATTAAGCAGTCATGCGAAATAGTCCCTGGTCCTGGTGACCACTAGTCTGCTTTTTCTATTCATATTACCTATTCTTGATATTTCATATAAGTGGAATCAGACAATATGTGACTGCTATGGTTTGGAGAGGTGTCCCCAAAGGCTTCTGTGTTGAGGGTTTAGTCACCAGCCTGTGGCACTATTGGGAGGTGATGGAACCTTTAARGGGTGGGGCCTAAATTAGGTCATTGGGGGCATGCCCTGGGAAGGGACATTGGAACCCTCCCATTCCTCTCTATCTTTCTGCTTCCCGGCCACCATGAGGTGAACAGTCCTCCTCTGCCACATGCTCCCACCATGACATTGCTATGTCACCCAGACCAATGGCGCCAAATAACCATGAACTGAAACCCCTGAAACCATAAGCCAAAAGAAACCTTTCCTCTTTACAAGTTGACTCAAGTATTTTGTTACAGTCCTGGCAAGCTGCCCAACACGATGACCATTTGTGTACTGCTTCTTTCATGGAGTGTAACATTTTCAAAGTTCATCAACACTGTAGCATGGTCCAGAGTTTCATTCTTTTATGAGGCTGAATAATATTCCACTGGATGGTTATACCACATTTTGCTTCTCCACCCATCATTGGTGAACATTTGGGCTGTTTCCACCTTTTGGTTATTATGAACAGAACTGCTGTGAACATTCATGCCAAGTCCATGCTTGACTACTTTCTTTCAGTTCCTTCGGGTATTTATCTAGGAGTGGAATTGCTCTGTGTATGTGAGGTGCTGGGAGGGAACCCAGGAGAGCTTTACCCCTGAGATGCATCCCCAAGGCTTTTTATTTTGAGGCAGGTTCTAAGTTTCTGAGGGCCTTGCTAAGATGCAGAGGCTGGCCTCAAACTTGCAATTCTCCTGCCTCAGCCTCCTGGGATGACAGGCATAACTTTCTGAAGAACCACCCAACTGTTGTCCACGCGGAGTGCACCATCTCAGAACTTCACCCGCTACCCTAAGGACATGTATGACTGCACATTCTTGCCGCAGGACTTTGCCCTGCTGTTCCCTTGGCCCAGACACTGCGTGGCTCCCATGCTGCCCTCCTCTGAATGTCCCCTGAATGTCATTTTCTCAGGAGAGCTTGCCTGATCACACCTGCGGTTTCATCCTCCTCGGCCTTTAGCATTATCGAATTAATCATCTGCATCATAGAAGAGGGGTCTTTTTTAAGCTTTGAGGTTCAGGGCCAGGCACTGGCTCTGTACTCAGTGACATCACATCGTGGCAATGGCCTTGGCTGGAGGCCAGAGGATGGGAGGCGCCAGGCTTGCTCCTTTCAAGACAACTCTCCCCGGAGAACGACCAAGAATCCCACAAGAACTCCCTTCAGACGACATGCCCAAGGACCCAGGGGTCCCCCAAGCCCCAACTGCCAAAGGGCCCAGCAGCCCCCAATCGCGCTGCCCTGCCCGCCAAGCCTGCAATAAGGTGGGCCCTTACAGGACGCACGAGCAGCTCCCAAACCACAGCAGCCATCAAAGCCAAATGCAGGCTGGAGTGTGGCTCGGTGGGAGAGCACTTGCCTGGCGAGGGTGAGGTCCTGGGTTTGATCCTCGGCTCTACATAGAGATACATAAAAGATTCATTGATAACTAAAAATTTTTTTAAAATTTTTTAAAAAACAAACTACGTGTTCTTTTTATTTTTCTAGTTGCCTGTCTCTCCTCCACAGATCATGAACTCCACCAGGGCAATGACGTTGGTCTGTCCTGGCACAGAGTGGTTCTCCATGAGTGGGATTGCTTGCAGGGCTCAGCTCTCTTCTCACACTCCATATGGCCCCGGGAGAACTTGTCCACTCCCAACTACAGGCATGTGGTTGGAACTCGCCACAGCTAGAGCTGGGAGGGAATGGCAACAAGTAAATGCCCAGTTAGAAGCATTTTGGCCGTAATCTAAATGCCCATCCGTAGGACCGCATCCTGAATCCTTATGTGACATCATTCAGCACAACCCAGGAACTCACCTCGGTGGCATGACCAGAACCTAAATGGTCAAACTGGAGATTCGGTTGGTATGGGAAGGTCCAGCCCAATCCAGTCCCCAGTACTCTTCCAAAAAACAAGATCCCTGGCTGAGCGCCRTGGTGCACACCTGTCATCCCAGCAGCTCGGGAGGCTGAGGCAGGAGAACCTCAAGTTCAAAGCCAGTCTCGGGCAAAAGCGAGGCGCTAAGCAACTCAGTGAGACCCTGTCTTTAAATAAAATACAAAAGAGGGCTGGGGATGTGGCACAGTGATCAAATGCCCCTTGCATTCAATCCCTGGTACCCCTGCCCCAAAGAAAAGATCCCTGGAACCCATCTATTTCTACAGCCCCCTCCTTCAGCAGCCCCTGTTCTTGCTCATCTAAGACCCTGACTTCCCCACAACAGCCCAAGCAGTGCACCAGGCCTGGCTTATGCTAGACAAGCGCTCCACCATTGAGCTACACCCCACCCAGCCCCACAAGAAAAAATAATTTTAACTCCCACATCCAACCAGTGCCAGTCCCTAGTAAGACTTGAGTGCAGGGGAGTTTGTGTGCATCATCCTTCTGTAATTGGGGTCACTGTTTCTGCAGCAGAAAAAGATCCGAGCCAAGATGGAAGCAGGCAGAAGGAAGGAGGCCTCGAGTTTCTGCTGATGCACAATTGGGGGATCCTTTCTCTCAAGCCCATGCAGGAACCCGCGACTTTGTGATACCACAGTGCATTTCTCTGGGCAGCTGCTGGGTACCAGGCCCTGTTGCAGGCACCCGAGACACATCAGCGAGCTTTGCAGGCACTGCCCAGCCTTCCCAGCACCCGCCATCTGGTTCGAGCTGAACTTGACCTTGGAGAAAGAGATTCAAGCTGGCCTGGCCTTCACAGCTGGCCTTGGTGTTGCTAGGCACTAGTCTGGCCGTCACAGCTGGGCCCCAGCCAACATCCTCCTGCTCAACATCAACAATCCCATGGAATGCCTGCATCAGACAAGGCCACTCTGTGACCCTGGGAGGGCAAGACAAAACAAGCCCGCTCAGCGATCACATCTGAACCCAGGCAGAGCAGGAACGTGGGTGACGGACCCCCTCCCCCTAAGGAGAACCTTGCTAATCCTTCACAGATTTAGTCTTGCTGCATTCCTCCAACTTCTTCCTGAAAAACGATTAAGATGCGCAGTAACAGAATGACCTCAATCCCGGCGGCTTCCTGTGAGCTCCAGATCTGCCTCCCAGACCCTCCTTTTCCCAGCAGGCAGCAGGACTAGGCTGAAGTATGAATTGCAGCCGTCTGGCTGGACCAAAGCCAGGAGCTGGCAGCAGGTGCTCGGACCTCAACCCAGGGG